TGCACTCAGCTCTTTGCCCACTATGCCAGTAGAGCGCCATTAGCACTTCACATCATCAGAGATGACTCGAATGGAATCCCAGTCATTGGAACAATGGAATACTGGCAGTTGGTACAAAGACTCTGAGTGGTTGTGTGTATTTGTTGGGGATGTGCCAAACTGAATATGAACGCTCTCGCTGCATGCACAAAGAGAAGCACAACTGTGGACTTCATGTGTAATTGCAAATGGCTGAAGGAGAATGTGACAATAATAGACCCATTATGTACAGTTAGGTTTAAATCAATCCTCATTTTCAGTAGGGATTGTAATGTCACTTTTAGACTTTTGGTCTACTGTAAGAAGAGCAGATGGTTGATGTCCACATAATGTGAAACTAGTTGTTATTAAGGGTTTTCCTTCTCTGAAACCAGGACAATATCCAACAGCTGACTATGTCTTGTGTTTTAAGCTGTAATTCTCATGCTCATCAAGCTTTCCCTCACAGATCATCTGATGGTTAGCTCTGTTATTTTAGCTTTCCTCTCTTGACATTTAAAACGTGCGGGCTATAAGAAATGAGTCTTAAGATCAGTTGGTTCATTCTGCACGTTGCCTGAACATTTACATTGAAATGACTGAGTTTATGATAGCATAATTATCTAATGATGAAATAATGTTACAAAGTCATATACAATTTAAAAAACGGTCATCGTCAGAGCCTCATTTAGCAAATGAAAGCCGTTTCTACTGTAGGTTAACATTGTTATCGCTCTGTGTCATGATTTTTAATTTGAGCGCGCTCCTGGCAAATCTCATAGCAGGTCAGTAAGCAGTGCTCAGTGATACACAATAAACTATAAACACATAGTCTGCTCCTGCTAGAGGCTGCAGGCAGCAGAGGGCTGACGGCCTGGTGCACCCGTGATGTGATGTTAGGAGAAGCAGTGTGTGTTTTATGTGTGATCATCATGTGTGCCTGGGGTTAACCTCAGGCTAAACTCAGGTAACTCTGACCTGGTTGTGTTTTGGTTGGTCTATTAGGTCCACCACTCTGAATGCAGTCAGCCAGCTGCACCCCCCATCTCTCTGAGTGCTGACTGAAACCAAGGTTATTAAACAATACAGATCAAAAACCAGTGTTTACTGTTCTTTCTCCTTGATTTTATACTCTATGGTCCTTGTCCTTAGAAGAGTGTATAAAACCTGAAGTTTCCCCATACACACGGAGTCATTAGCCGCAACCTCATGGTGAGGTCTAATGCCTGGGCACTAAATGGAACATCAGGAATGAACGTAGGTGTCTAGCATGACATATCATCATTTTGTCCTCTGCAGTTTATCATAGTAAAATAACTTATTCTGAGTCTAGGAGACATTTGATTGGAAAATGCAAGAATGCACCTTCTATCACCTAGTTTGACAGCATTTATCAGTTCTTCTGTGATACTTTGGAAGCCATATTGTTAACATTCCTGATTCAAAAATGATCAATCAACATTGCAAATCATGTAAGATAAAACCCCCCCAGAAAATATCATTGGCTGGGGTTCATCAGTTAGTCTGATATGTCTCTCGTCTTCACCTGACGAGGAATATAAGTCATGTAGCCTGATCTCACCAGATTGCACCCATGTTTTAACCTTCAACATCCAGGTCACTACCATCAATTAATAGTTAAATCGCCGAGAGGGAAAACCCCCTGGTGTCAAGTGTTGCCCTTCAGTGAGCAGCCTTAGTGTGTGGAAGCTTTGAATCAATATTCCTTTGCCCACAAAGGATCAATACGCTGCCAGATTTAGACACGTTTCTCTCATATAAACCTCAGTGTTATATTATATCTTGGTCAATAAATCAAAAGCCTTCATCAACCTTTTGTCTACATTAATCATCTCTTTCCTGAATGTTCCCACAAGTCTCCAACACATTTAATCAGCTTTATTCACATGGTGTTCTTTCAACAGCTGATGAAAAGATGATTCCAACTGTTACCTTAACAAATGAGAGGACACAGCAAAAACGATATTGACCTCCCAACTAGCTCGGTTTCTTGCATTGATTGTTGCGGTCTAAGCTTTTGCAGCTTTTCGTTAAATACTTACTGAGCTTCATTGTCTAAAATGGATATGCTGAATTTCAACACCTGCACAAGAACTGTATTTTGTTGCATCAGATTATGTAGTTTTACCAAATAAATGAGAGGATTACAAAACATTTTGAAATAGTATAAGAGTAATGTGTAAGACAGCTCGAGGACATGAACAATAACTTGTAATATTAATGTGATCCACATTAGTTGAAAAGGATTCTTACAACAGTTGTGTAGAAATAGTGGGCCCGGTTTTCCAAGCCTGTAGTATAGCTGCTATTTTCCAGCTTGACACAGTATTGTGTAGTTTGTAGTGTGTGATGTTCACTGACCCTCTTTCCTCCCTGTGTGTGCACTCAGCCTCACTGTATCACTGTGTGCTATCATTTATAATGCACTGCAGCGCGTACAGGGCTCCACGTGGGAAGAATCACTGACCTATTTTAGAGCTTTCTCTGCTGCTCTCTCTGTTCTCTGTCTATTTCTCTCTTCCTTATCTTCATTTCTCTCTCTCCATCACTTCTCTGCTGGGAATACGTCTGCAATTCAAAGCAAGGCTCGTACTGGACTGTGTGGCATAGTGTGTGTGTGTGTGTGTTTGTGTGTGTGTGTGTTCATGAATTCATATAATTGGGTGATACTAGTCAGGTTTCTCAACAGCTGGGCTACAGAGATAGGTGTGTGCATGTGTACACTGAGTGGAACGAGGGCGTGTCTTCATTCATGTGTGACCCTATACAGTACCCCTCTTTGCATCTGCTTCCATACAAGTGTCTGTGTGTGTGTGTGTGTGTGTGTGTGTGTTTGTGTGTGTGTGTGTGTGTGTGTGTGTGTGTGTGTGTGTGTGTGTGTGTGTGTGTGTGTGTGTGTGTGTGTGTGTGTGTGTGTGTGTGTGTGTGTGTGTGTGTGTGTGTGTGTGTGTGTGTGTGTGTGTGTGTGTGTGTGTGTGTGTGTGTGTGTGTGTGTGTGTGTGTGTGTGTGGTGTGTGTGTGTGTGTGTGTGTGTGTGTGTGTGTGTGTGTGTGTGGTAGGTGTTGGCTGAAATGTGACTCCTGCCCTCAGGCCACAAAGCTCCCTTGTGAGATCTGTGTGTTATTTCACAGATCCTATAAAGAGACGAAGCTGATCCTTTACCATGTATTCAAACTAGTGGAAAAACAATGGCAATGATCATCTGGAAATCCTAACGGACACAGTGCTTGCATGATTCATGCTGTTCACTGTACAGTAGGGCTGTTTTTGTTTAAATCGTTATACCTTATCATAACTTGATAATATAATAAATATTTTTTAGAATCAGACTTATGAGTTATCATTGTGTCTGTCAGCAGACGGTGGAAGGGTGTAGTTGGGTCAAGGGTAGAGCCCATTACATTTAGGAGTGGATCCAAATCCCAGGCTGGATACACACATTACGTTTCCCTTTTTTCACACTGCATACAGGACGTTTGTGCTGATATCATGTGGCGTCAGAATAATTAGAATGTGGATCCTTGCTTGGACATTTTGTGTAAAACTGCTGTCAACAAATTGTTTAGACTTTAATCAAAAAAATGCAAAACAAATTCTGTGTTCTGAGTCAGTGCATTCACAGTCCTTTGTGTTGCGTCACATTCTCTGCCCTTATTTTCCTGGAACTTTAATATGGCAACCTTATGGTAAACCCCCCCCTCACACTCCCACTGGATATTTTTAATTGTTATTATATTTGTCCTGCTGTCATAGCTTTGAGCATGGTGTGATTTGCAGCTGAGTGAAGGATTGATCCTGGTGGGAGGGGGCAGCATGGGGGCAGGATTAACAGTGGGCAGGTGGTCCTGATATGGTTGCCAGTACACCAACCTGGCTTTCATGTGGAGGTGGTGGGGGGGAGGGAGAGTTAATTAGAAACCTTTGGTTTGTGGGCTGGCTGATTAATAATGTGGCTTGAAGAAGAGTGTAAAAAACATGTATGCTGTGTGTGTGTGTGTGTGTGTGTGTGTGTGTGTGTGTGTGTGTGTGTGTGTGTGTGTGTGTGTGTGTGTGTGTGTGTGTGTGTGTGTGTGTGTGTGTGTGTGTGTGTGTGTGTGTGTGTGTGTGTGTGTGTAACCGGGTCACTGTACAGCTATCAGCTTCACCTCTCACCGAGGTCTTTGTTGAGCAAAGGTGGAGGTAGCCTGAACAGGAAGCTAGCACAACCTTATCATCCTTAGTATCACTGTTAACTGGATATTGTTAATACCACCATCGTTTTTTTTTAACTTAATTTTTATTTTCAGATTTTACAGAAAATAGAATAGTAGAAAAATAGACTTTAGGACAAAGGCAAATAGAGTTGCATACCGCAGCAGCCTCTTGATATTAGTATATATGTATTTATTTTTCAATGTTTAACATCAGAGGATGGAAACATCTTGGTGTTTATTAAAGTTTATTTTTTTATGTTTGGAGAATTCCTCTTTGTCTTTTTACATTTAATATGAGTAAGTTGTTAAATGTTAAGTTAAATGTTCGAATCAATAAGACCTGTGAGCCAAAAGTTGCCCTTTGGTTAGATGATAAGTATTAATAAAGAGGTATTCCCATAAAGTCTATGGACACCCTTTAGCAACTTTATCTAAAAAGATTATGAAAATATTGTATCAAAGACATTGGTGAGATTTGAACAATGGAACAATCCCAATCATTTTAATTCTCCATCATCGTAGAACGTTAAACCATTCTACATGTGGAAGGGCTTATAGTGGAGCCTTTGAGGAGCAAAGGCACAGAGCTTCTCCTTGGCTGTGTTTCTGGGCTGCTCTCTCCAGGGAGCCCCACAGGACTCAGCTGTGAATGTAGGCCAACGCTCTCATGCCAGAACACAGCTCCCCACAAACAGTTTTACTGTAGATATACTCCAGTCTACTATTCTGTCTCCATCCTAACCATCTGTTCCTCTGTCTTTCTCTCAGGTCTTCGGCGCTCTGTCAGGAGAACGTTTTTAGCCAATAAGGAGAGGCCGGCCAACCAGAGGGGTAGAGATGATGCGGCAGGGCGGCCATGTTGCCCTGGCTCTCATGTCATCACTGCTGCTGCTGTGGCGCCACGCAGCAGCCATCGAAGTTCCACAAGACCGTAAGTCCCTCAGCAGCCATCAGACTCGCTCAGAAGCAACGTGTTCCAGCAGATAGACCGAAACAAACTGTGAAGTCTGCTGAGATCAGGGCCGGCTCTAGACAATTTGCAGCCCTAGGCGAGATTTTAGCTGGCAGCAAATGTTTGAACATTTTAAAGTAAAATGCTTCAATCTGGTGCACTTTGAGCAGAATCACTACTAGATCTAGGGGGTACAACTCTAAACACCCATATGAAAAAGATCGGTTTACATTTTAATAATCAAATAAGTATGTGAACATAACCAATAACCTACCATAGCCAATAACAAATGAATGTAACTTATTTTATTTTTGTTGTTCATTCATATCTTATTTTACCTAGTTAACATTTATTTATTTATGCATTTCTTTTAATCTCTCCAGTTTTAAAGGATATGTTTGGTTTACTGTCCTATAGAATACACTGGAATGATTTCAAACCTGTTCATCCCAATAATTATAAAGGAGTGCCTTGGAAATATGTGTTTACCTAAATTGTGACCAAACTGTTTGAGACCCACTGAGATAACTTAGACTAAAGTGAACTATCTAAACCCTCAGAGTCCTTTACCTCACTGAGCTGTAGCTATCAGCCTCTCAGTCTGACTGGAGAGGACTCTCCCTCCACATTATTGTAGAAACATCTTCTTCTTATATCCGTTAGCGCAGCTAGCACCAGATTCTAATAACAACAGCGCCGGTACCGGTGCACCCTCCCTCTCTCCCTCGCTCACTCGCATTTTGGCTGTGAGCTGCGGGCGCCAGATAAGCCAACATCCCTCATTTCATCTCTTACAGCGCCCATCGTACAGGGCAAATGAAACGTGTAACCGGGGTGAAAAGGGTGTTACATTTATTTAAAGTGGACCTATCATGCTATATTTAAATGATATATTGTAGGGCCATACCTATATAAGGTATATTTATACGTTTCTGTTTTCAAAATAGCAAACAGATCATGCATTTTAGCCATGCCTCATTTCGCTCTATGTGCTGTTTGCTGTCTACGGGTCTGATTCTGCTGACCACGCCCCCCTGCAGGAGAGGTGAGCCGTGCTCTGATCAGCTGCTGGGCTGTCAGAAGACGGGAGATCTCCGTCCTCCGTGTTTTATTATATAGAGTCGTTATTCATTTGTTTTAAAGCTCAATAAATAACAAAGAAGACCTTTGACCGGCACTTTTCTAATTTTGTCCGGAAGATTTAAACTTTAACGGACATCTTGACCGGCGAAAGAAACTGAAACTGAAACTCTGCCGCACGGTCCCCTCGTTCCTTGGAAGAGGCGGAGAGGTGGGAGTTTGTCATCTGCTGGTGGACTAACCGGAGAGAATTACAGTGCTTGCCTCCCCGCAAGCGTTTGCAGCGGGAGCAAACGCTTGCCTCGGGGAGGTAGAAAAAAAAAGCCACAGCGGAGAATAAACAGAAGGGTAACCATGGTAACTATGGGCGGGAAGTCTTCTTCGCTGCTTTTGTGGCAGACTACAGCGCCACTTACAGGCCTGGCATATGTACTACAGCGTCTCCAGCACTTTCGAGCGGCAATGGCCGGCCGTGGCCCAACCCCACATTCCCCTGATAGGTGGAGAGTTGGCCCAATAGTCGTAGCGCCACCGTCCTGACGTCAGTAACGTGTTCAAATCTGGATCAGTTTTTATCAGATCCGTTGCAGCCCCGTTTTTAGAGATTTGGGTATGGAGGAAAATAGAGAGGGTTGTGTTTTCTGACACTTGGTGAGTTCCCTGGAACTCCGGGGACACATATTCATGTATAAAAGACGTACAAAAGTGCATTTTGCATGATAGGTCCCCTTTAATTATGAATGTTGTTACATCAAGGCCGAAAATTAGGATGAGCACCATGGTTTTTTTCCATCCCAGAGCTGCCAGCGCAGCGCCTCCCCAGATCTGGCGCCCTAGGCGAACATCTATAACGCCAGTGCTACGGGCCGGCCCTGGCTGAGATACATGGCTCAGGTCTATTTAGGACCATGAGAGCTCAGTGGTCCCTCTGTCTGGAAAACAGAGCTTTGGGCAAAAAGAATGCTAGAACTGAGGAAATTATTATGTTCCATTTTCATGTCATGTACAGTAGTTAATGTTTGCTGCGTGACCTGATGTGTGTCATTTGAATAAATTAAATGAGTAAACACACAACAAAACCAAGAATAATCATAAAAGGAAAGATAACACAGAGCAAATATTCAGGATGGATGAGGTCTTGCAAGAGATGTTGGAAATCTAGCTGTTCATTTGGTGTGGCAGTATATATTACTATTTTTCTCATACAACTAGAGTTAGACTATCCTCATCCTCTGTATTAAACACACACATAGTGGTTTGTTGGTTCTTGTGTAACAGAAAGGGACTACAAATCCAATTTTGAGGATGACAATAAATCAGCATTGCGTGTTATGAATCAGGACAATTATGTTGATAATGGAATATGACTTAGCGTATGGCATTTCAGTAGCAGTTGCTATACATCACACAGCTGCAAAAACAATGTTTATATGGCTCTCTTAATAGCACCATTAGACATGAAATGTACATATAAAGCCTTTTAGATATACTGATCAGATGGTAGTGATCCATTTTCCTGATGAACCTCTTATAGGGGCGTTCACACCAAGTTATTTTCCCACAATAGTTCATGAGAACTCTTTTAGTTCTGATGAACTAAAGCAGATCGTGTTCACACCGCAATGAGTCCCTGGGGGAGGATTAGGCAAATGAAGCCACTGACGTCACTTCTTCTTCTTCTGCTTTGGGTTTACTGGCAGGCCGCAAACAACTTCACGGTGTATACTGCCACCCGAAGTCCCCGACCGGAAGTCCCCGGAGTTGGGGACTGACTTCAGTAGAAGCTGCTGGGACTCCCAGCAGCTTCTACTGAAGCCTTCTGAGTAAATCGCCAGAACGCCGACACCTCCTCATCTCTACCGCTCCCATGTTTTATTTTGTGTTGCCATAAGTTAGTCTCTCTGCGTTTGTGCGCTGGGCTAATGCTAATGCTAATAATGCTAATGCGAGGATAATAAAATGGCGGCTTCACAAAACTTTTTGGGAGTTTTACGGGGCGTGGTTTGCATTCCACCCAGCCAATCAGACATAGGAACCTTTTTATCCCACCAAAGTACCTGCTCTCTAGCAGGGACTGAAAAGGGGGTAAAAATGGTTCTGATTAACTAATTTAGTTCAGGGGACTTTTTGGTGTGAACGCAAATATATCTGAGTTCTGATTAACTATTGTGGGAAAAGTACTCCGGTGTGAACGCGCCAAATGACTCTTCCACTGAAGCTCTTTGTCAGAGCTAACTAAGGCCCCGTTTACACGGAGACGGAACGGGTGTTATCCGCTACAGTTCTCTATCGTATGGACGGTTCGTTCACACGAGGCCGTAACGGAACCGCGGAAACGGAGCCCTCAAACGATAACGGGTCCCAAGGTGGGTAGATCTGCGGACGGAATGCTCTGGGGGGTCAAACGGCTCCATGTGTACGCCCGATACGCCATAGCCCCGCCTCTCCACACCTCTCCTGCTCTCCTCCGTCATTGCTGATGTGTTTCGCCAACAACAGCAACAGTGTTCCGAGTGTTTCGAGCCAAGTCCCGGTATCTCGCAGGACAGTGCACCCAGCAGGAGCCTCCAGCAGACCCCCCCGCACGGCAGAGTTTCTGTTAGCCGGTAAACAAACAGATGGGACTTGAGGGCCCTTTTGAAGGCGTCGAGTGTGGGGATGTTGCGAATCTCCCTAGGGAGAGCGTTCCAGAGGGTGGGGGCTGCCACACTGTAGGCTCTGTCCCCGAAGGTTCGCAGTTTGGTGCGGGGGGTGGTAAGCAGGCCAGAGTCTGAGGACCGCAGGTTCCGGGGTGGGGCATGTGGGTGAAGGATGTCCGATAGGTACTGGGGGGCAAGGGCATGGAGGGACTTGTAGGTAAGGAGGAGGACTTTGTAAGATATGCGGGACTTGACCGGCAACCAGTGTAGGTGGATGAGGGTGGGAGTGATGTTTAGGTGTCCTTTGACACGCAGGCAGTCATATCATTAGCTAGAACTAGCTAGATTTGATCGATATGGACATAAACGCGAGTGAAGTCTAATCGGACAGGAGAGAGAGATCAGAGATCAGCTGCTGCTGACGAAGACACGCAGCTCTGCATGATCACCTGCAGCTCCGCCCGCTGTGATGGGGCGGTGAGCGGAGCAAAACACACACTTCATGTTAGATCATCACACTTAGCTATTTTAATTACCTCTCAAACTGCCTAAACTAGTTATAAATATGTTTATTTTTACTGTCGGGTCACTCATTACTGGATCAGCCAGCTGCATGAGACGGATACTGCTGGGCTGTCAGGAGAGGGGGAGAAAAAGAGAGGCTCCGTGTATTATTCTTATATTGTTATATAGAGTCGTTATTCATTTGTGTTAAAGCTCAATAAATAACAAAGAAGACCTTTGACCCGCACTTTTCTAATTTTGTCCGGAAGATTTCAACTTTAACGGACATGTTGACTGGAGGAAAAAAAAAAACGGAAACACTGCCGCACGGTCCCCTCGTCCCTTGGAAGAGGCGGAGAGGTGGGTGTTTTTCATCTGCTGGTGGACTACCGGGGAGATTGAACGTCCTGCTCGGGAGCCAGGCTCAGAGTCAGTGGCAGTGGGTGCCCGCGCACCCGCCTTTGACAGCGGGAGCGCGAGCTCGCCTCGGGGAGGGAGAGAAGAGAGAGGCGGAGGCCGCCGAAACGGCCAGAGCCCTGCCTCTCCCCACCTCTGCTGCTCACCCAAATCTACAGCTCCTCTACCACAACCATCAGCAACAAGTGGACATGGAGAACTACATGAACTACATGTTGCTAAATCCACCGAGGAGAATAAACAGAAGGGCAACCAGGCAACCATGGCAACCATGCTCGGGAGGTCTTCTTCGCTGCTTTTGGTGTATTTTGTGGCGGAAGTACAGCGCCACTTACAGGCCCGGCATATGTACTACAGCGTCTCCAGCGGGTCGAGCGGTCTCGTGTGGACGGACAAATGTATTGAGACGATTGCGTGTGGACGGAAGACTTTTTTGATATCGAATTCTGTTAGTTTTCGTTTCCGTGTAAACGGAGCCTACGGCTGAAGACCCATCCCCCGCTCCTTTGTCTCCTTATCTGCTTCACATCAAACTGCACTCTTGACCTTTATTGATGAGTGCTTTCCACACATGCCTACAGGAAACACATGCACACTCACACACACATCCCCCCCCCCCCCACACACACACACACACACACACACACACACACACACACACACACACACACACACACACACACACACACACACACACACACACACACATTCCATTTTAACATGACATAACACCTAAATGGCAAAAAATCAATACTATTAACATTCAGTAAAAGGTCTGTGCAGTTGTGCTGTGGCTGACAAACAGTCCTCTTTGTTAACTGGATCAAATATAGCATTCATGTAGGCAAAGCCCAACGTAATGAATAGAAGCTTAAATCTAGCAGTGGGAGGTCCACATTACTGTGTCACATTTACAGGTACACTGGCACAAGTACATATTAAATACATGTTCAACATTTGGTCAAATGTTCTTTTACTTATTATTACCATGTTCATTAGGTGATATATTTCTTAAATACGTGTTACATTACATTTAAAGAGTCTATTATATTATATAATATTGCCTGCAAACACCGTAAAAGTAAAGTAGCCAAGTATAGCTTTAAATACAATTTTGCTTCCTCTCTGTTACAAATAAATGATGAGCTATTGAAACACACTGTATGACTCAGTGTTACAGTATTAAAAACAAGCTAACGTATATGTGTGTTTTCTTTATCCTCCTTACTGCTCACCCTCTGCTGACACGGGAACTCCTTACAGGTGAGTCCAGCCATCCTTTCTGTGTTTCACTCTATAAATCACAGTTCTCTCTCTCATGTTATAACAACTAGTTTCTAGTTTCTACTAGTTTTTTTTTACACAGAGCAAACTGTAAGCTATGACAGTGCTTCTCGACTGGTTCTGCCTCAGGGTTTGAAGGAGTCTCTGTTCAGGTCACCGCTCCTACAGCGGGCCAGCTGAATATTCAGTTTGTTTCCATCCATTCAAAGCTAACTGTTGTGTTACAATTTCACGAAATGAAACTAAAACAACTTGTTCAGACTCCTCAATCTATTTTTACAATACAACATAAATAGGTCTGATAAAAGGGACGGGGTAATACAGCTGCAGTGCTGCTAACTATAAAGAGGAGAAAATACGGATTTAACCCATGACACTTCTTCACTGTATGATTTTTTTTCCTTTTGTGTGCAGTGTAAGTTAAACAAATGAATATGATCTGTGTCATACTTGTGACCAGTTGTACTGTATCATTGCATAAAGTTAGACAGCTCCCGTCTGGGAAAACATAAACTGGAATGAAAGCGCTGCTCTGTCAGTCACCAGTTGGGAACCACTGATCTGAACATAACACAATGAGTATTCATAGTACTATTAATGTTTATATCCGTCTAATATGATTAACATTCACATTACAATGTGTCCATGCTTCTTCCCGTCTCTCTTGGGCTTTACATTGGACTAACAGCAAAGATCCTTCAGGAGCGTAAGTGTTTCTTTTTAACATCACTGCTAATGTTTCTGTACCACCGACTCATTTCATAACTAAGAGCTTAATTACACACCTTACTACTTACTGTTTATTTTTCCTCCTGCTCCACAGAGATGAATACAGTATATATTAGGGTACACCGTTAGTGTCTGTGATTTAAAAAGAGGAGCCCAAATCCCAAACATTGGTTGATAAGTAAGAATGAATAATATATTTAAATAACCCAACAAATCATTGGTCGTAAGGAACAGTAATGTATCTTGCTTGGAAACACACAGAGGAATAACAGCCTTATAAGCATTATACAGTTTGTAGCAATATAGCATTCAGAGCTCAGAGCTGGTGTAAAGAACGTCATGGAGGATGTGTTATAAGCTGATATGTTGAGGAGTAATTTCCATACCAATTATGTTTCATAGCCTGGCTTTTATCACAACCAAGCATAGTATAAAAATACTCTGGGTTACTTATGGTTGCCATAGCAACGAGAGGGATATGTATAATGCTGTCCTTTTGTCAGTTGGGCATGAGATTAGCTGCAATAGCTTCACTTACAGAGGGAAAGTGTTCTGTTGGACAGAATCAGTCTTACAGAGCGGCCTCCTCTAATGCAGCGATCCTCTGAAGGGCCTGGTATCCCGGCTGTGTGTACAGTCTATGTGAGTCTGTGTGTACAGTCTGTGTGAGTCTATGTGTTCAGTCTGTGTGAGTCTGTGTGAGTCTGTGTGTTCAGTCTGTGTGAGTCTGTGTGAGTCTGTGTGTTCAGTCTGTGTGAGTCTGTGTGAGTCTGTGTGTTCAGTCTGTGTGAGTCTGTGTGAGTCTGTGTGTACAGTCTGTGTGTACAGTCTGTGTGTACAGTCTGTGTGTACAGTCTGTGTGAGTCTGTGTGAGTCTGTGTGTACAGTCTGTGTGAGTCTGTGTGAGTCTGTGTGTTCAGTCTGTGTGAGTCTGTGTGAGTCTGTGTGTACAGTCTGTGTGTACAGTCTGTGTGTACAGTCTGTGTGTACAGTCTGTGTGAGTCTGTGTGAGTCTGTGTGTACAGTCTGTGTGAGTCTGTGTGAGTCTGTGTGTTCAGTCTGTGTGAGTCTGTGTGAGTCTGTGTGAGTCTGTGTGTTCAGTCTGTGTGAGTCTGTGTGAGTCTGTGTGTTCAGTCTGTGTGAGTCTGTGTTCAGTCTGTGTGAGTCTGTGTGAGTCTGTGTGTTCAGTCTGTGTGAGTCTGTGTGAGTCTGTGTGTACAGTCTGTGTGTACAGTCTGTGTGTACAGTCTGTGTGTACAGTCTGTGTGAGTCTGTGTGTACAGTCTGTGTGTACAGTCTGTGTGTACAGTCTGTGTGAGTCTGTGTGAGTCTGTGTGTACAGTCTGTGTGTACAGTCTGTGTGTACAGTCTGTGTGAGTCTGTGTGAGTCTGTGTGTACAGTCTGTGTGTACAGTCTGTGTGTACAGTCTGTGTGTACAGTCTGTGTGAGTCTGTGTGTACTTGTGTACAGTGTGGGAGCCTCTACCCTGCAGGGCTCAGTGAGCTGGAAAGGCATAAGGGCAGAAAGATGAGTGTGTGTGGTGTGTGTGTGGTATGGGTTAGATGAGCCATTAAATATGTCTAGTAGACTGAACACAGCTGGGGAGGTGGAAACTACGATCTATGTATTTCTTTATTCAGAATATAAAACAGATGTACAAACAATACAACAAATTCCATGAAAATAAAAAGTATTGTGAGTATTAAAGACTGATATATGTTAAGATCAATGATCCACACTGCAACACGTTTTTTATTTCCTTTTATTTGGCAACAAAATAAAAATAAATAACACCAGCAAAATAATTCTGAAATCCTATAATATATATATATATTAAAGGATTTCAGAATGATTCATTGCAACTTGAGTTGTATTTTAGCTGTTCTTATCACTTATTTTATTAGTTATAAGAACACCATTTGCTGAGATCATCTCAATAAGCTGACATCACTAAAAGAAAAATGTCCAACAGATCAAGAAACATAGATTGTTTCAACTCTTCATTAGAGCTGCATGATGCTTGCACTAAATGAAATATTTAAACCAATGATATATTTTTTATGGTTGCCACTGTACACATTTCAAACTACAAATTCATTGATGTGGTTTTCAATAAAGTGTAGCAACAAAACACAAGGGGATAAACACATGTAATGTCTCTCTGTTGAGTTGATTACTGTAACACAAGATGTCAGAGTATTGATCTGTAGTAAGCTTCATGTGTATTGGTGTATTGAGCTATTGATACCTCGTGCTTTGAAGTGCCCTGAAACGGAAGTTTTGTGTGTGCATTATAAATTGCACAGCATCATTCCTGTAACCTTGTCTGTGTGTGTCCCTCCTCCCACAGTGAAGCAGCCCCCCACCATAGTCAAACAGTCAGTGAAGGACTACATTGTCGACCCCAGAGATAACATCATCATCGAGTGTGAGGCCAAGGGCAACCCAGTGCCAACGTAAGCACTACACACACACACACACACACACACACACACACACACACACACACACACACACACACACACACACACACACACACACACACACACACACACACACACACACACACACACACACACACACACACACACACACACACACACACACACACACACACACACACACACACACACACACACACACACACACACACACACACACACACACACACACACACACTGCCCTCACGACAAACGCCCTTCTCATTACTATTTGAAAGGCACCAGTTGTTGTTGTTTGTTCTTTAACTTAATCCAGAGAAGGCAAAGGGATATTAAAGTAGTAACACAGTTATTGCAGCTTGAAAGTTTACATTATATGGTTAGAGATTTACAAAAGCTAAAGATATGAATCAATAATGAAGTCAAACCAATAATAACTTACAGAAAACAGGAACATTTATTCAGAGTGCGCTGTGTCAATAAGAGAAGGTACAACTTCACTGGAAATAAAATGAGGCTGAGACATTTTGGAAAATCTTGAAAGTATCCCACAATGAAATTCACACAAGTTGAGGAAGTGAGTGACAGCAGACTGAACCAATCAGACGCAGTCGGAGGTGAATTGGGAAACAGCAGTGCCGCTGAGGCTCATTTCCTGTCTGTGCTCTCTCTCCTCTCTCTTCTGCTGCCCTTTGTCTCCCTGCTCTGTCTGTCCTTGGTGTCTCCTTGCACCCCCCCCCCTCTCTAGCAGTGAGAGTAATGCTGTGTGACAGTGCTACTCAGATGTGCTTCTCTTCCACTCACACAATAAATATTTTTCACCTTAGCCAACACAATTTTTTCAATGCCCCCCCATCAGCTGAATGATGAGAGCTGCTGTCCTGCCCTGGCTCTGACCGCCCTATAAACTCAGAGTGACACCTGTCTGCCCGCTCTCTGCAGCCTGCACCTCACACGTGGTCCGTTGTGCTTGTTCCTGTCCCCCCCCGCCCATACTGTCCTTCCACCCTGCTCCAGCTGCTGTTCATCCAATCAGCTCTTCATGGATTTCCTTTGTTTTCTGCAATACAGTTTCCTTTTTAAAGCCTGTTTTTCTTTGGATTTGCTTTCTCTCTTATTTGTTGGCAAATGTAATGAAAGCATAATTAGTTTGTGACGGACAGTGAATATGGATATTAGGATTGGGAATACATCTTTATTGCCTTTGTAGGTGCATATTAAGATAATTGCAGCAGTATAGAGACAACACACACTTGAGTCCCTCTCCAGCCTTCCTCCGGTCCATCTGACTGACTTCCTGTCGGCTGTTTGGATGAAATGATTTCACTGATAGTTATTCTAGATATCCCAAATATTATTAATCCAAATGGGACACATTTTGATAATGAAAACAGTTAATTCAGGAGGGTGTGTCACTCAAAAAAACTTGAAGGACCTATTTTCTTCATGATGACCACAGAAGTGACATTACCCCAGCAGCCACTATGCCAATAAACACTTCGCAGCCCGGCTCTGTTCTAGACTAGCAAATGAAAACTGCTCAGATATCAAACATGTCCTGAATTCATCTCTGGTTGAAACACATGTTACATTTATTTTAGATAGTTGAACACAACTTTGAATTAATCGACTATCTAACTGGGCTCTGCTGTTGTTAGCTGCTCCACCAATAAACTAGGACAAACAAAACAAAGCAGGAAGTCATCGCTGAAAGATCCCTGAATCATCAGTTAGATCAATGACTTTTTAATATAGTTGTACATTCTGAAGTTTATGGCGCAATGGTTCTACAATATACTCACACATCTGAGAGAGATGTGTGACATTAATGGAAGTCTTACTCCAGAAGTCAACTGGAGGATGGGCGGGAGATAAGTCTTTCTCCTTCTCTCTCTCTTTCTCTCATCCGTCTCATTCACAGTTTCTGTTTCCTCCTTCTCCTCTCTTCTGTTGTCCTGTTGTCCACAAGCATTCACACATACAAAGGCACATTTTAAAACCTGGAGTGATGTACACCAAATCTTACACGCTCACACTATACATTGTGACACACATCACATATACACGCACGCACGCACACACACACACACACACTCACAAACAAACACACACTTGGTCTCCGGTGGTTACATCACTGGCTGTATGACCGGCCCAGGACAGTGGTACATTGTTTATTTGGTGACAGATTGGCTTTATGTAAGACACACACACACACACACACACACACACACACACACACACACACACACACACACACACACACACACACACACACACACACACACACACACACACACACACACACACACACACGGCTCTCACTCCCCCCTGCATGCATTCTGTCTGCCCCCTTCCCAGGGCAGGCTTTGTGCTCCAATAATGCACCCGGTTGACTATTCATGCTCATGAAACATTCAGCGTAAGGGATCGTTCACTTATTCACTCGCAGTCAGTCTACACAACTCCTGCCAATAACAACACACACGGCCCTGGTCTCCAAGGCATCAATAGGCCCAGTGTGTGTGTGCTGCACCTCCAACAGGAGCAGCTCCACTGTAACTCCCCCAAAATGACAGGAAGCATCTTTTGTAAATCCCTGCTCATCACTCAGAATAGTGAGGGGTTATATAAGCATGTTCAGTGTTCCTCTCTGATCAGGGAGCCCTCTGCAGCAGGGTTAAGCTGCAGGAATATTTGTGGCTCATGCAGAGCGTGTGGTAGATTCTGTGCTGCTGTTATTTTGCAGCTTAGTAACTTAAGATGGCAACCACATGACAAGCAAAGCACGTTAGGGTCCATGTTGGGATGGTGACAGCTCAGAGGGTAAACCTCAGGACTGGATCACTTTCTCTGGCCTTATTGTCCCCTCTTAAACAACCATGCTGGTGTTTCTTCATGTATAATTCCATTATGACCATTATTAAAATAACAGCCATATCATACACACAACAGCTACTGTTTCTTTTTAAAACTGAAATCCTTTTGAATTCCTGACATTTCTTATTTGATGCAATACAAATTAAAACTACTGCATGTATGTGAAATTAAAATGATACCTTGATGTGGGAGAGCTTTGCTGTGAAACTACAACATGTTAAGGTTTAGTTATCTCTGTGTGAGAGTTTGGTTGCAGGCAGAGTATGTTTTATAACATTTCCCTGCTTAAGTACACTCAACTCCATGAGGTATGGCTGGTTTCCATTGTTCCACCTATGAGTTCTGATTTTTCATATAACTGTCCTTTGACTTAAAGGTAGGGTAGGTAAGTTTGAGAAACCGGCTCGAGATCGCTAGAATTTGAAAATATACAACCGGAGAAAATCTGCCACTTCCTTATAGAGCCCCTCCTCCAACACACACGAACGCGCACATGACCAATGAGGGCACGAGATAAGTTTGTGCCCCGATGGAAGGCTGACAGGCAGGTAGGCCATCCAGTTATTTTAGCCGGGCCGGCTAAAATGATTGGTCGTGCTTTTTACAGTACCACGGCTTCCACAGATGACATTTTTTTATGGATTTTTTGTCAAAGCACTTCAGATATTCATTGCTATCGGGATGTTAAGAGCATTCCATGGAATATAACAAAAAGTGTATCTCGAGCCGGTTTCTCAAACTTACCTACCCCACCTTTAAGGAATAAAAGAACTGACGACAATAATAATAATAAGTCAATCATTCTGATGGGTTTTCATCAGAAATACTGTATTTAAAAATGATTATTCCATAAAGAGGCCATTGGTAGAACAAACTTCAACTCCATGGATCAACGATAATAATAAATAATAATAATACATGTTATTTATAAAGCACTTTTCCTGGTGCTCAAAGCGCTTAATAACAATGTTTTAATGCTTACACTTCGATGTGTTGTCTGGCTCAGGTTCTCATGGCGAAGGAACGGGAAGTTCTTCAACATTGGGAAAGATCCCAGGGTGACGATGCGGAAACGCTCGGGGACGCTGGAGATCGGTTTCCGTAGCGGCGGGCGACCGGAGGACTATGAGGGGGAGTACCAGTGTTTCTCCAGCAACGACCTGGGAGTGGCTCTGTCCAACAAGATCCTGCTGCGCGTCTCCAGTGAGAACACAAGCACACTTCCTTTGAAAAGACTTGGACATAATGCATACATTAAAAAATTAACAATATCTTTATTTATTTTTCTTTACACATTCAGTAATGACATAGCAGTTACATGATAAGTACATAAGCAAAACCAACAAACAGAATACCAAAAAACTGCTCAGTTTTGGACATACATAGGAGGTTACAGTGAGGCTGCCAGATTTATAGAACTGGTCAGATTTGGCATTTTTGTTGTAAAATATTCCAGGAGAACCAACTCAAATATAACTTTGGGCCAGCCTTTGAGAGATGGGACCTCATCTTTAGTCCGTATTATCATCCAAGAAACTTGTTTCAATTTATTCAGTTATAATTTAGATTATAGAGGTTACAATGCAACAACAACGTTTTATTGAATGCTTATGCAATGTGACTGTGCACGCTGTCAAATATCTGTTGACCACACATCCAACCGCCAGTAAAGCCCTCTCTAACCTGTAATTCTCCTCCCCTTCCCTCCCCCCTTCTACTCCCACCCCCACCCCGTCCTCCAGAGGCTCCTCTGTGGCCCAAAGAGGTGCTGGAGCCCGTGGTGGTGACTGAAGGCACCCCGCTGGTTCTACCCTGCAACCCCCCACCAGGCCTGCCTCCTCCGTTCACCTTCTGGATGAACAGCGGTGAGCAACGAATACACACAAATACACACACACATGCACTCAGGATATTTGTCTTTCTCTGTGTGTGTGCTGATGATTTTCTTCCCCACTGTATAAGCCTGTCAAAATGACTCTGTCAACCACTATTTGTGCAGTTGTATCATCATTATGATAGACTGTGTCATTGGAGCAATATTTGTATGGCGATGAAACAGCAGATGACAACTGTTTGTTTACTAGTTTTATATAAAGAGGGAAATAGATGTGAGTTATGTCCTATCCAGCTTGCATATTACTCAAATATATAACTTCCTCCTAAAATGGAACACAGGGTTAGCTTAGAGGCTGGCTGCATCTCTCTCATTGTAGCTGCAACATCATAAAGAAATCAAACTGAAAATGAACTCAAACCCAAACTGCCGCTGAGGCACAGGAAGGCACATCTCAGGCAGGGAATAGTGATCTAATGTCCAGGCTAGAACAGCATTTGGTTTGTCCAATATGTACGTAATCACCACGTGCCCAACTCACCCAGTGCCCATAACTGCCTTCAAAATAAGAGCATACAGGATTACTTTTACTAAGAAATATAATTACAATAAATAATGATTAATTGAATAGAAACAAAAAACAGCTAGAAATACAGTATATGTTTGATTAGGAAATCACATGAATCAATGTATAGCTCCAACACTCGTGTTTGCTGTTCAATCAGCATCCCCAAAGAACAAGAATGAAGGTGCTGAGAACATTTTCGTTTTGTCCCTTTAAAATGTGAGGCTGGAGGTCTATCAGGTCATCTAGAGAGCGGCTTCATTTCCCTCTTTTCAAGCCGTTTGTCACCAGTGACCTCTAGGCAGAATGCCTTGCTTTAGTCTTTTATCCCTCCTGCTCTCTCAGGTTCTTTCTCTCAGCAGTTAGACAGGCTCTGGCGTCGTGTCCTCACCTCGCTCCTTTACACTGTATTGTCCTGCTCCCAAGTGTGTGTGCGTCTGTGTGTGTGCTTGTAGACCTTGTGTCCAGCCAGAAAACCACTCTACACCACACAAAGACATGTCCTTTGCAGTTAAAAAGGTAGATAGTGTAGCTATACTAGATGCTAGATGCTCCACACACACACACACACACACACACACACACACACACACACACACACACACACACACACACACACACACACACACACACACACACACACACACACACACACACACACACACACACACACACACACACACACACACTCTCTCAGTACATCAGTGTGTCATGTAGCCCAGACACTGTAACACGCCAACGCCTGATTAGAACAGCTGGCCCGGCTGCTGATTGGTCCTGAGGCCACTGTAGTTTCAGTGTTGATGGCGGTCTGTCTGGACGTCTGTGTGCGGGGTTAACATGTGCCTGTAGCAACTGTAGGATGACACATCAGCTGGGAACCAGAGCTGACTTACAGAGACGCCCAACAGAAGCAGAGGCTGCCATACGAGGGGCCACCTGCCCAGAGTAACAGTCACACACACTCACACACACTCAAACACTGTAAGCCAACAGAAGCAATGTGGGGCTCAGTATCTTGCCACCAGTACACGTCGACAACTGGACTGTAATTGATGGGGATCGAACCACTGATCTTCCGATTGGAGGACGATCATCTAGCTCCTGAGTCACAGCCATTTACAAACATAAGCATCTAACACACTACAAGTGATGCTATGTTTAGCCTTTGATACAAGATGAGATCAGTTGGTGATGGTAGCATTTGATTTCTGCTTTGTTTCAGACACAAACACTATCTCTGTGTGGGTGAGTGGTGTGATGGGAATCATAGATATATATCCTATACCTTTCAATGTAGTACTGCCTAGTAACAGTAATGTGGAAGTTCCTATTAGCTACTGTGCACATTCATTTGTTTACAAAGTTTAATTTCCTCCATCTCATCACCCCAGCCACAAACTGTTCAGTCTGCTGCCGTCTGGCAGGTGCTAGTATCGCAGCATCAGGACTAACACCACCAGACTCAGGGACAGTTTCATCCCACAGGCCAGAAGACTATTAAACACCTGCGCTCTGTGAAGTTCCTCCATAACTCCATAGCATTGATCTGTTGCAGGTCACAAATGTATTTATTACTACAATAAGCAGTATTTAATTCACTGCACAGTATTTAATGTTACATTCTGTTCTTGTTTATCTTATTCTATTAACATGTATATAGACTGCTGTGTTCACATACAACATTCTCTGCAACATTTAGCTTATTGCATTTTATTTGACATGTATGTAGTTTACTTTTACTTCCTTGCACATTGGTCTAGCAATATAAACTTGCACTATTTTATTTCTACTCTTCTTGCTCTAAAAACGTTTTATTGTTTTATGTCTCATATATTCATGTTGCATTGTGGGGGAGATGGGACGTTAGATTGCCATTGCCATAACTAAACTGTAGCTACTGTGCATATGGCAGTGAATCTTGAATCTCTTTCCCTCTGCTCCCTGCTGTGTTCCAGCGATGTCTCCGATCCTTCAGGATAAGAGAGTGTCCATGGGTCTGAATGGAGACCTGTACTTCTCCAATGTTTTGGCCAAAGACGCTCACAATGACTACAGCTGCAACGCTCGCTTCCTTTTCACACACACCATCCAGCAGAAGAACCCCTTCTCGCTCAAAGTTCAGACAAGTAAGTATACAACACACAGATACAACCATACTGACTTTGATATGTGTTCTGAAATATTCAAAGTCAATATAGTGACCCCTCAGGTAACAGTGTATGAACTCTGTGGTCCTTTTCTCTCTCAATACCTGCTGTGTGGTTTAGATCACAATCTATTCCAAATGAAGGATGACATATCCCCATCTAGAGGTGATGTCATGATATGACATGAAATACATTCAATCATAACCTTTCATACCATTTTCTCAGTTTGCTGCAGATAAGAGACCATGACCTGTTGGGTGATCTTGATATAATGTAAAGATGTCTTCTTCAGATCTGTTAATGTGTGTGTTCAGGTTCTCTGTGTGTGTGCCTGTGTTTTCAGCAGAGCCGTATGATGAAACATCTTACAATGCCACTGACCCCTATGGTGGTGAGTAACTTCCTGTCAGGACAGCTCCACTTCCTGTCCGTATTCATGTACCACAGTAACATGGCTAGCACACTAACCTGCTAGCTCAGTGAGGTTCCAGCGGTGACCTCACGCTGACCTTAGGCACTAATTCAACCTCCTAACCGTCATGTAGAAAAGTGAGCTCGGGTGATGCCAACTGATATTTGATACTTTTGGATATGAAGTATTTAAAACCTTGTCTACATGTTTTTAGTCTACATGAGTTTTAAGTAGGGGCAAAAATCACATTTAGATCATTCATAAAATAATTTATAGTATTTCCTGTTTTCAACCAACACACATCATATAACCCAGACAAGAGATACTGCCACTTTGAGCAACGTGTGAGCAACATCATTAGAACATGTTTCAATTATTGCTTGATACATACTAATCAAATGTTGTCAGATCACTTTGGGGACCCGAGGATTGTGACAAACATATCCAGGAAAGCTGGGCTAACCGAATTTAGTCAAAAATATTGTTGAATTTGTCCCTTTACTAAAACCAGTGTGACAGGAATTGAGTTTTAGTACTTTTAGAAAGTGTTGAGTCATTTCATCATCTCAGCATGGACATAGTTGGATTAACAGCAGTTGTTATATAGATTGAATCCGTTAATGTGTCAGTGCAGTGTAGAATGAGGGACAGGATCAGATGTGACTTCCAATAAAAGACTAACCTCTCTGACCCCTGTATAAACTCACACAGTGGAAAATGTATTCATCTGGTTTAGTCCATAATTCCACCTTTAAATCAATGTTAAATGATCACATGTAATGAATAAACATACAGTTATTAACACGCAAATCAGCCATAATTGAACTGTATTACACATGCAGTAGAGAAGCAGTTTATTCATTATGACATACACCTATTGAATCTGCCCATAGCTGGAGGGAAGAGATCAGCCAAAGTGGCAACATATGTGCCTTTCACTGAACAGGGGGGGGGGGCTGTATGGGTGACGAGGGGGGCAGTGAACCCCAGGGGTGGATGAGATATGTCCCAAAGGGAGGAGATAGACTGGGCTGGCTCTGAGGCCCAGTGGGACTGAAGACTCGACGAGGCTTAGGTCACATGATGAATATTCAGTGTGGATTCATGCTGGGGTCCTTCATAGTCATATATATTTATGGAAATAAGGTTTGCTGCATCCTACTTTCATGTGTGCGCGACTCTCACATGCGACCACTCATACCCAGGGTTGGGAGGGTTACTTTAAAAATGTAATCCGTTATATTACCTGAATCAATCATTAACGTAATCTGAGTATCACAATATAAAAGCAATGTAACCTGATTACTTTACGTTACTTTGGGATTTCCTCAAGATCAAATGCAATGCAAATAGATCCAAGAGAAAAGAAAAATCAATAAAAGGTTTTTGCCTTTGGAAAAGATGAAACCAAGATGTTTAGGATCAAACATGTGTCCTCTTATATTTGAGGCTTACAGAATAGTATAGTTTACTAATGCTGTTAAACACATGAGTTAAAAGCACACACAGTATTTTTGTTTGATAAATCAGGTGTCCACCTATTGCATAAATATCCTGATTATTGAATACAGTTACATGTAATCCATTACTCCCCAAACCCGCTCATACCCACACAGAAACACACACGCTAGCTATTTGATCACTAATCTCTTAAGAACACACACAGAAGCAAAAAACACAACCCTGTCTTTTTTGTCAGTGGGAGGGGGTATACATCTGCAGTGCATCCTGGGAAGCCTTGCCAGCCTCATCAGCAGGATGTCATGTCTCCAGGGTGCTCTCTGCATTGCCGTAGCTCACTCTGTAGCGATTGTGTACTGGATGATCAGCATTTCTTACCTTCAACCTCCTTCTCTACATGTCCCCCTCTTTTCACTCTTCTTCTCCTCACAGCGTCACTGACAATAACAGATCCTCCTTTTCCGACCGCTGGAGAAACTAACCGCTAACAGATGCTTTAATCCCACACAGATCTGCATCACAAAAGAGGCTAATGCTAATTTAATCCCACAGATCTCTGCAAACTCCAGCTCTCTGCTGATTGGATTGTATGTCCACAGTGTTAACAGCATCTGTCTCGTGATTGGATCAGACTGGAAATGTGCATATAGAATGTAGTACAGATCAAAGGGCCAGCTAAATCAGTCTTGGCATCAAACGCATCAATTGGAAATAAATATAAATGTTCAGTCAGTGGTGTAGTTCCAAACAATATGAGTCAAATATCAATGATAATGCTGCATACAGTCAGATGTAGTACAGGGTCAGCCTTAACCTGTATGGGCATCAAGCTGAATGTCAAAGGGTAACTCTAAACTCGTGCCATTTGAACTAGTTAGCCGGCATAGACTGATGGATGATCAGGTTTTATTACAATTCTTTTTTTTTTTTCATTGGGAAATAAATCTTAGCTGTCATACAATGATATGGTGAGAACTCATGTACAGTAGAATAGAAAAGTAAGGAGAACAGTTCCATAACGGTTTATAAACCCACTTGGTTCAAGTTTTCTGTGCAATTAAGGGTTCTAATGGACATTTCAGCTGCACCCTCCTTACTTTGACTTCCAAATTGGGCCTTCAAAAGTGAAACCTTTGAAGTTTTCATCTTACATAAATACTTTTGCATTTTAAATGACTCATTATTCTTTACCGTAGATAAAACAGGAAAAGTGAGTTCACGCTGATACACGCAGGATTAAAATGCCACATACGTCCTGGTGTAGTATAGAAACAAAGACAGCGCTCTGCAGTTTGATCACACCCCAGACTGACTGATTCATTTAGGCTCAAACGTTTTGGGTCCAAAACTTTGTTCCAACCAACTGAAGAAATACTGAGACTTTCTCTATAGAACTGTATAAATAAAATGTACATTCAGCAAAGGTTTAAAATAGATCTTTATCATCAATCCTCCTCCCCAGTCATTCGCTATACTGTATGTGGATTATAAAAGGCCTCACAACCTAAAAGCCAACTCCACACAACACAGGGTTCTGTTCTAAAGGCTGCTCTGGTTTTGGCAAGGTTACACATGCTTAAGCCAAGCCCTACAGGGAGGTTTAACAGCAGTTTGTTTAATAGCGTCAACTAGAGTACATGACCTAAAATACGGTTTAGTTTTATGTTTAATAAAGCAGCTGATAAAACTTGCAGTGTTCTGCTGTAATGAGATTAGTTTGAGCCTTTCATGGCAATCTTTCCCATCTCTGTCCCCTCGCCAAACCTAAAGCAAGATCAATGACTCCATTGTTGTTTCTGCATCTCCTAATGTCTTCCTGTGAGACAAGCCAGAGGGTGTTAAACCCATTTACAGGCCGCTCTGGCCCCTCAACAGACTGCAGGGAGAGCCAGAGCCTGGCAGGGATGGAACACAGCCACGAGGAAATGATGGGAATAATAGTGTTAGATTAACTTCTCAGTGCCTACAAGGAGGATGTGCAGCCCCTTGTAAGAAGTCTTGGTACACAGATAAACTGCGGTGTGTGTGTGTGTGTGTTTTTGTGTGTGTGTGTGTGTGGGTGTGTGTGTGTGTGTAATAACCCCACCCTGTCCTTGTCTGCAGGCCGTAAACTGGCAGAGTCCACACCCACCTTCCTCTCACCCTCAGGGAGTGAGAGCTCCAAGATGGTGCTACGAGACGAGCAACTGCTGCTGGAGTGTATCGCTGCTGGACTGTGAGCTCACACACACACACACACACACACACACACACACACACACACACACACACACACACACACACACACACACACACACACACACACACACACACACACACACACACACACACACACACACACACACACACACACACACACACACACACACACACACACACACACACACACACACCTAGTGCTACAGACTGTGCTATAACTTTGACCGGCCAACTGAAAACAATTAACAAAAATTGTCAGTAAGTAATTGACATAATTTCTGTTACTTAAAGAAACAACAATAATTGTATTTTATGAGTTTTTGAGCGCCTCCTGACTTTATACTGAACCAAAAGGGTTGTACCCTTGATCAATGCCTTGTCTCCTTTGTCCCACATTGAATGTGCCCCTCTCATAAAAAAAACCTCACCTCTGTCCTTCCCCTACAGGCCGACCCCCGCCATTAAGTGGTTTAAGAAGGGGGGGGACCTGCCAGTGCGGGCGAAGTTTGAGAACTACAACAAGACCCTGAAGATCATCAACGTGTCGGAGGAGGATGCTGGGGAGTATGTGTGCATGGCCAACAGTCATTTAGGCATCATACGCCACTCCATCTTTGTCCAGGTCAAAGGTGAGGAGGTTACAGAGGTTATGTGTTCATTAAAATGTGTGTTTGAGTCCCTCGTGCTGATCTGCCTCTCTGTGTCCCACAGCGGCTCCTTATTGGCTGGACAAACCTACGAACCTGGTGCTGGCCCCGGACGAGAACGGGCGCCTGGTGTGTCGCGCAAACGGAAACCCCAAAACCAACATCCAGTGGCTGATCAACGGACAGCCCATAGACAGTAAATATTTCTCCTGTCTTTGTTCTTATAAATATTATTCAATATATAATACCGGTCACTTGGCATTGCAATTATTTTAAACAAATGAACACTTGTTTTTTTATTACAAAATAACAAATTAAACTGAAGGTTGCAAATTGCTCGACAGATTTCCATTTTATGCTTTTATAATTGTTAAAAATCTATTTGTGAGTCTATATTTAAAAGCAGTATTACAGCCAGGTCTGACCACTTGGCATGAGGCTCAGTAACTAGCTTATACAACCCATGTTATAGTACAGTATTTATAGCTGTACTCTTACTTTCTTGGAGTTTCTCCGAACATAGTGTCTTTAGGTGTTCCACTTTCTTCAATATTATATGTTATTCCATAGCACACAATACAAATGTTCCTCACAGAAAGGTGTGTGTGTGTTTATACATATCCTCAGCATAGGAGGCTTACCAATTGACAGAGAGTTCTTTTTATTTAAGCACAGGTCAGAAGTTGTTTGGGAGAAATGATGTTATCCAACAGCTTCATCAGGGTCTTAAAACAGATATCTGTCAAGTATGACCGTGTGATATAACGCCTGTGTAACATCATCTACTGTAAGCTATAATGTTATGATCATATTTCAAACAGGAGCTCTCTTGAATTTAAAACAAGTTTGTACTTTCAAGAGAGTTTGCTTAATCTGAAATGGAATACTCATACTAATGAGCAGGGCCGCCCCTCCCTACAAGGCCGATCACGCAGACTGCGTGGGGCCTCAGCTTGCGGAGGGTGCTTCATTTTGCGGAGGGAGCCTCAGCTGAAGCGCAAATGTGGCGCACCTACAGCGCACCACAGTTTCGCTGCTAGCACCCCCCGTCGACGACGACGCTCGCGACACAGAGGGCCTCATGGCCTCATCATGTAACTTTGCGTGAGGCCACAAGTTGGCCAGGGGCGGCCCTGCTAACGAGCCTCACAGACAGATTTGATAAATTTTTTTTGCAAATGTTCTTGCCTGAGGCCCTGCGTCTTTCAAAAAGACGATATGTAGTCCAGATACAGGGGAACCGGCTTGGCATGATAAAGACAAACAGGTTGTAAGGTTTATTATTCACGGACCATCAAAGTTACGACTCATCAAATCAAGTTTAGAATATGTCTTTACTGTATATCTTAAAATGCTTTCTGTAAGGCTGTAACACTCCATTCTGTGCCCCCCCCCCCCGCAGGCTCTCCACACAACCCCAGCAGACAGGTGCAGGGGGACACCCTCATCTTCCGCTCGGTACAGATCGGAAGCAGCGCTGTGTACCAGTGCAACGCCTCCAACGAGCACGGCTACCTGCTGGCCAACGCCTTCGTCAGCGTGCTCGGTGAGACACTCAGGGTTTCAGAATGGATACAGAGCAGTCACTAACCTGCGCTGAAGTTACACGTCTCTCTGTAGCCCTGAAATCTCTAAAGCAGATACGCATCCAGACACAATATCTAAAACATCGAAACCATTGACATTGTAAGAATTGAATTGGTAAATGTGTGATCCGCTGTGCTCTCTGCAGACATGCCTCCAAGGATGCTGGCTCCGAAGAACCAGCTGATTAAAGTCATCCAGAACAACCGCACCTTCCTGGACTGTCCCTTCTTCGGTTCCCCTCTGCCGGACCTGCGCTGGTGAGCCTCTCACCACATGTTGGTTACTCAGATGCAGAAATATTTGTTTAGTCATCATCCTGTGGAGCAGTGATTTCCAACCGATGTGCCGTGAGAGATGGTCAGGTGTGCCGAAGTTGTGCTATTCACTAAATTGGTCCAAAAATGCAAATAACTTGCCATCGTTGTGCGTCTGTGCCTGCAATGTAGCAGCTAGCTAAGTACTTAAATACTCTTCTGTGGCAGTAGCTAGCCCGTTAAAACAGTAGAATTGAGTGATGTGTGGGAGAGGTTGCGTTGAGAAGACGAACACCGTTAGATGAATATTTGGAAAAACTGAACCGGATCCTGGACAAAATCCAACCCAGAGGAAGATCCTAGTATGAGTGGTGGTAAAATAAAGAAAGAACGGTGAGCTGGAGGCAATACAGCGAAAGTTATCTTTTGTTTGGATTTGGAACACAGACTATTTTGTTAGCCTTCGTAAACAAACTGAGAAACAGGTAACATTTCTGAGAAACACCACAAAGGTGCCTGAGAGAGCTCTAGCTAGCTACTAGCAGCTGAACTTGTGGCCAAATTGAAAGCCTTGTCATTAAATCTTCAGTATATCGTCATTTTATATACGCTGTTTTAAGCTACAGTGTGTCATTTTGTTCCTTTTTGCTTGTTGGTGAACCGTGGGATTTTTTTAATGTTAAAACATTTACCGGGGCTCAAAATCTTTTGAAAAACACTGCGCTGGAGGACCATGTCCATGTGTATGTGAGCAAGTGGTACTATATCATGGAATGTACTTGTTTATACTCTGTGTTTTTAATGTGTGTAGGTTTAAGAACGGACAGGGCAGTGGGCTGGATGGCGGGCAGTACCGCGTTTATGTCAACGGCACCCTGGAGATCATACGGGCTAGAATGGAGGACGAGGGGACCTACACCTGTGTGGCCAGCAGCATGCTGGGAAAGGCCGAGAACCAGGTCCGCCTGGAGGTCAAAGGTCAGTCACCACTGCTGCTCTCAGACTGATGCTGATATTAAATCCTGTAACCATGCAAGAACTCATGTGCAACAGTCCAGTTATGACTTCTTCATGGAATCCCATGACCTGGTTTGGAGGACATTTGTGTTGTATGAAATGATTTCTTTCCCTTGTGCCAAACAGCCCGCACCGTTGGACATTTTTCAAATCTCTCGTGCCTTTAATGAAACTGCCTTAACTTCTCTTTACTAACAGGTACAATTTTAGTTTTCATTACAATTTGTCAGGTCAAATGGCAAGTACGGAACCCCATATTTAAAAAGCACAACAATCAGTTACAAATAGATAAATATCTTTATGAAGAATCTGCCAGTCCAGGAAGTGGGAGGTTCTTATTCTGCAAAGGAGCAGCAGGAGGAGGCGGTGGAGGGTTGGACATCAAAGCACAGCACTTTACAATGATGCCGTGCATTTCCTACAAAATAGCTTCTCAAAGGAAAAGAGAATTGTATATGTGTGTGTTATTAACAGCAGATTGTGCTGAAAGTCATGTTATCTCTCCTGGTGCAGATTTAGTTCACCTGCTTCAACAGAAAGATGTTAGGAGCTGTGCTGCTATAACAGTGAAGTGATATTGTGTGTGTGAGCCTTTTAGAAAAGAGTGTGTTCCATCCACCTGCTCCCTGTCAGCCATCAGACACACATTACATTACATTACATTTAGCTGACGCTTTTATCCAAAGCGACAATAAGTGCATTCGACCAAGAAGATACAAACTTGAAGAAAACAGAATCATATAAGTACATCAGGTTTCATAGAGACAAAACATTTCAAGTGCTACTCAACTGGCTTTACTGTAGATAAGCCAGTCCTTAGTTAGTATATAAGTGCTTTGTTAGTAATTCTATCGCTCGAAGTGGAGTCGAAAGAGATGAGTTTTCAGTCTGCGCCGGAAGATGTGTGAGCTTTCTGCTGTCCTGATGTCACCTGTCACTCATTCTCCTGGATGCCTCTAAATGAGTGAGTTCATGTAGTATGTGTGTGTGACTGTGTGTGTGTGTTCCCCTTCACCTCCCTCCACCTCAGAGCCCACACGTATAATCAGGGCCCCGGAGCACCAGTCCGCCATCCGGGGCTCCACGGTCCACCTGGACTGTAAGGTGACCTCTGACCCCAGCCTGCCCGTCACTGTGAGCTGGACCAAGGACGACAAGCCCCTCCACCTGGGATGGAGGTACCAGCACCTACACCTACTTTACACAACCTCTGATGCTGCACCTGTAGAGTCGACCACCAGCTATCCTGTCAGTGTTTTAACAGATAAAAAAGACATTTTATGCAAAGTGGTCATTTTTCCACAAAGAAATCCCCTTCCCACTCTACTCACCTCAAAGGAATTGAATAAGAGGAATATGGTGTACCATCGGTCCTTAGTTTGTTTGTGATTAATTGAAATGTTAAGGTAATATGGGTTGTATACTGTAAGTCTAATATTTGGCAGATAAGCACATTCATTTTGAAACATTAGTATATTCTTAGTCAACTTAAATAAAGATGCTTTCATTGCAAAAAACAAACATTCTTCTTGGTCTGTCCATGGTGTAGTTGACATAGAAGGCAGGGTACATATGGGACAATATTTGCAGAGAAGTGACTGACTGTAAAATAAAAGTGTAATCACAGCATGAGCATAGAATATCTTAAGGGTGAGAAACCCACGTTGTGTCTTCAAACACTGGACAGTTATTTGATTTTAGCATTGCATGCCTGATCCATTTCACACAGAGAGATGAACTTGAATGATTGATGTTTAACAAGCAATCCTTCTCTGTGTCTGTCCCCCCCCAGGCTGAAGAAAAACGAGCAGTCCCTGACCATCCCTAATGTGAACGAAGGCGATGAGGGCACCTACAGCTGCTCTGTGAGATCTGAGATAGACGAGGACTCAGCCTCAGCCCGCCTCACTGTGTTAGGTACACAATCTGAGCAGCTGGGGAGAATCACAAATTCACATTCAATATACTAAATAAGTTTTATGTCATATAAAAAAACTCTAAAGTGTAACCTTATGTAATTTCCATGCAAAAATAATGTTGTGTAAAGATCTAACTACGGATGCCAGTTGAATATCTTAAAGTATAATTGCTTTAACTCACATTTAGATATAGTGTTAAGTCTATAGTAAAGTAGAAGTAGGCAGTTTGCCAACATTGAAATGTTCAAGTGATGTCCTCTCTTGCCCTCTCCAGCACACACACACATAAATACACACTATAACGTTTTTGTTGTCTTATTTCTTATAACGATTATCTTTAAACATTTATTGTCAATGCCCTCAGTTCTTCCTGACACTTTACTATTTTTCAGCTCTGTATGTCTTCAAGTGGAAATCATGCATGTTTTATAGTTGCTACAGTTGACTAAATACTAAAATACTTACCTAGCTTAGCCTTAACACTACTTACTCTCACGGATTGAGCCGTTTGCATGCAGCGTCCTGAGATACTGTAGTTCTGTGTTATAGTGCTGCAGAGAAGCTGGTTGGTCTGCTCAGTTTGAACATGCTGTGTGAACATTGTTTGTACATATGAGACTTGTCATTAATAACGCTGGGTCACAGGAACAGGACACTGTTATTTGTTAACAGTAAAACATGGCCAGCAGTCAAAGAGGTTTGTTATCCTTAAAGACTCAAACCTGCGTGACATCTGTGTCTCAAATCTGATGCACTGAAAACACTGAAATGTTGACTTTAAGAAATGTATTATGTCAACAGATTTCACATAACTGTATTAGGTTAGTAGAAAGCAATAATATTAAAGTTGAACCTACATTTTTTTATTTAAACTTCATATTATTGCTTTCAACTAACGTAATACAGTTATGTGAAATCTGTTGACATCATACGTGTACTTAAAGTCAACGGTTCAGTTTTTTTCAGTGTGATCATTACAAAGTCTCACATGTATCTATGATGATTATATGATCAAACGTTAGTGGTCTGACCTGTATTAATACAATACTAAATGACATGTTGACTATTGTGCTCCTTAGCTGATGACTGGCTTCTAGACTAACCTTCAAACTCTAACCTTTACCCCCACTTCCTGGTCCCTGACCCCCCCCCACAGAGGAAGCCTCCCTCCACCCCTCAGTCTCTAGTGCCTTGCCTCCAGGTAACACACGGCTCGGTGGGATTCTCTTTGTCTTTTCTTCTCTGTCCTGATGGTTTTTCTGTTTGTCGTCTTTTGTTTGACTTTTTGTCCTCGCCGTCTTTTTTTAATTGTGCCTCTGCTGTAATTCTAATATTTATTATAAGGGATTTGTACATGACTTGCATGCATCACAATCCATCCTGTCCAGTCATTTACTCTCATAGTAAGTCTGAAAATGTTTGTCCAGACTGCTCATGATGTCCCATTTAGAGCCATATTCCACTCATTCTGGGTTTATGGATTTTACTAGTAGAGTTGTTTTTATATTTGACTAATTTTTTTAACTAAGGTTATATATTAACAATTTCCTAAAAAGAACAAATGGTTGTATTGGGAGGAGATTTGGAGGTGTTATTGGGTGATAACAAAATCTAATGGTGTGTCTTGATTTAAGATTGATTGACAGATTAGGAGGTAAAATGATTTTGTACAGTATGAGTGACACGTGTACTGCAGCATGCCTGTAGTTGCCTGCATGTGTGTGTTGGAGTGTGTTCCCTTGTCTAAGCTCAGTTTCTCTCCAGACCGTCCGGACCCTCCCATGGATCTGGACCTGTCGGACCCCGCGGCCCGCAGCGTTCGCCTCACTTGGATCCCCGGGAACGACCACAGGAGTCCGATCACAGGTCAGAACCTTGACAGGTGTCACAAGCATAGGGCTAGTCTTTATGAAGAATATCCTATCACGATATTTTGACCCAACATCTCAGTATTGATATTTTTTAACGATATTTTAGGGTTGACTATTGATGCTTTGACAAATAACTAAACAGTCAGAGTTTTGATACATAATCATCATTAATGAAGATGAAGTGACTAGGTGGGTAAAGGAAAATAATGAAACAGTGATTTAATGTGAATTCAGAAAAATGACATGATTTCAGTGTTACTGTCTCTCAAACCATTCTAAGACAACAATTACAATACCCCAAATCTGAGACCATATCCATTCTCATATCACACATTGATACTAATCGATATAAAGCCCAGCCCCACACAAGCATAGCTTGCTATGTCAGTTTCCTGACATAGTGTAGCTCATTACTGAAGAGAAGGCTATAATGACCCCCCCTGAGGAACACCCCCCCCCTCTGGTCTCCCTCTCCTCACTCGGCTCTGTGTCTCTGCAGAGTTCCTGGTCCAGTTTGAGGAGGACCGCTGGGAGTCCGGCAGGTGGCAGGACCTATCCTCGTACCCCGGAGACCTGAACTCTGTCATCCTGCAGCTCAACCCCTTCGTCAACTACCAGTTCAGAGTCATCGCCATCAACTCCGTGGGCCAGAGTACCCCCAGCCGGCCCTCCCCCCGATACAAGACCAGCGGAGCGGGTGAGCAGCACCACACGCACCCATCTGACATCATCTGCTTCTGGCTGTTAAAAGACTCTGAGGTTACATGTCTTCACATCAGATAATAACTTCATGTTCTTTACACAAAACAAACTGTGACCTGAGATTTGAAGTAGTGGAAGTGTCCTCTTAAATAAAGAATTTCCTGTAAGATAATATCCTCAAACTGAAATAACCTGAAGCCAGGATGTTTCCTTCTAGCTGCTTTAAATATAGAAGCAGAAAAAAACATTCTTCACAATAAATGTAAATTCAAATTCAAATAATTACGCTCTTATTTTGCAGTCTTGCATATCATATTATATTATAGTGTACTATAATACACTTGATTATGTTATTCTAATAATATATATAAATAATATGTCATACTGTGTATAGCGTACTGTAACTTACTGCATTAACATACTACTACTAAAAACAAATACTTAATCATATCATATACCATCCTGGTGTATGCTGTTGTATTTGTATATAAGTATAGTATTATACTTAAGCAATAGCTCACGACAGGCCGTGGTATATGGCCATTATATCACAGTTAAGGGGCGTGGTTCGGCCCAACTGTATACAGTTTTTCTCAGACGCGGAGGGATACTGACTTGTTGTGAAAAGTAACTACAATTCTACCCGTGGTATACGCTCAGTATACCACGGGTAAGAACCAATCAGATTGCTTGATTTGACTTGTCCGTTTTATAATGTACTATATTTACTGACTGCTACACAATACCAAGTCAACTAGCTTGAGACAAAGTTGCTCTATACATGAAAGAGTGAACAACTCTGGTTTGGGTACATTCTTGAATGTAATTGTAATACTGTTGACTTGTTTGTTCTGTTAACAAAAGCCCCAGATGCTATTCCCAGAGGACTACGAGGATGGGGATCCAAGAAGGACAATATGGAGATCACCTGGGAGGTAGGACATGTTGAGGGCAGGACATTGCTATTGTTAGTAATGGCAATGAATGCATTATTCTAAGAAATGATCATGGATGGAATTGGGACGGTAAAATCAAGTGGTATATCGAAGTATTAGTTGTTTTAATGGTATTTATTTGACTGAAAATAATATTTGAAACAGTTTTTACTTCCATGAAAAAGTTGGCTAATGGCTGACTTCATCTTAAGTGTTTTCATCTCTTACTAATTTGAAAAAAGAAAAACACTGTATTCAGAAAACATTCTTTAACAGCCCACTTTCTGTTTTCTCCAGCCTCTGCTGGATCTGGAGAGAAATGGCCCCAACATGCACTACAGTGTGTGGTGGAGGAGGAAGGATGCAGGGGAGGAGTGGAGGAATGTGACCACAGCGGGGCCCAAACATGTCGTCCACAACACAGAAACCTACGTGCCTTACGAGATCAAAATCCAGGCCAGGAACGAGTTTGGGCAGGGGCCCGAGTCCAATGTGGTCACTGGGTACTCTGGGGAGGACAGTGAGTACTGCAGAGCAGTTGGTGAAAGCCAATAGGAAGTTGATTCTTTGGAATAAAGCTGGTAGATATTTCGTGTTGAAGCTTTTCCGGATGACAAAAACTCAGCCTCTTACAATACCATTGTTAAATCTTGCTCCTAAAATAGCTTTTGATCCATTAGTGCTATTGTCTGCGAAGCAACAAGAGCCCCACTGACAGAACTGGTTTATTTCTTTATGAACAGAACTGCACCTTTCCATAAATAAAACATAACATGCCCATTTTTCCGTGCGTTCAGATCCCAGCGACGCTCCCACTGAGTTGCGGGTGTCGAAGGCCGACAGCACCAAGGTGAACCTTCACTGGAGGCCCGTGGACCTGAGCTCTGTGCAGGGGGAGTTCAAGGAGTACAGGGTGGGTCCTCTCTCTCTCTTTGATGTCAGGAACCACTGCAGGGTTTGGGTATACAGATGTGGCATAAACCGTAATGCAGGACTATTTACTATTCATCATTTAATAGTGAGAAATAATAAGCTGTCACGACATGACATGCTTTTGTTAAATTACAAACTATTTAATATGTGATGAATGTCATTCCTCAGAGAAAACTATTTGTTCACTTAACAAATCATTCATTATTCGCCTTTAGATGTCCTTAAAGGTTTACCGTACTGGGCGCATTGAACGAGTAGTTGCTATGCAACCAGACCTGTATCGTTTCCCTGTTTAGTGACAATGTCCGAAAGAAGTTTTGATAAAAAGCTCCGTCCATCTCAGCCTGGCGTCTCTCAGGTTTGAAACTTTATTGTGTCATGTTTGCCTATCCTAGGTTTTAACTGAATTGTTTGTTTGCCACCAAAAGGTTTAAACCGATGTATTTATTTCCAACAGGTGTAGTTACTCGCCAACATACATCAACACACAAGCTAACGTTCCGCTACTTCCGCTAACAGTGTAATTCTTGTTTTCCGCTAACATTGTAATCATTGTACTCTAACCAATTTATTAACATTGTGGAAGAAAAATACGTTATGAATGGCAGAAAAATACACTGAGCTAATCCCATGCAAATGTTCAAGCATCAGTTCTTACATAACCTCTGAGTAGCCTACAACATAGAAAGTGCAAACCCATAAACCAAATAATCTTACAGGTATTATAATATGTTATACAGTTTATCATAAAACAACCCCTTTCAATCAATCACTTCAGCCTAGGTGTGCAGCCATTTTATAGTCACTTTTTATGGAGGTACCACTTCTAGTTTATGGCTTTCAGTTTCAGTTATATTAATAGGGAAGATCTGTGACAACTTTTCTAAAAGTGTGTGAGTGCAGGGGCTGTAAGTCAAAGATCAGTATTGATATTTGATGGTTAAAAAATCAGATTATGAACTATCTGTTAATATGTGTTTTCTTAAATAAAAAAATAAACATAAAACATATTTTTGTATATATGTAGGCTACTGAATTTGTATTCAAGGGAAAAATTCTGCATTTTAAGATAAACAGTTTAAAACTTAAAAAAAAAAGTGTTAGTTCTTCTGTCCAGTGAAGTGGGGTTTAACCTTTAGATATTTGCATTTATGTATGAAGTGTTTGCTATACCTGATCAAATTATTAACCAGAAATTCCACCCTGAAATTGTAGTTGAATGTGGACCTGAATGTTACTTTGTGCAGAAAGAGTGAGCCTGTGTGACTTTGATTCTGTGCCTGCTACACACACTCTGATTCTCAGTTTCTCTGGTTTCATCTCCTCCGCTGGTCTTTCACATAATAACCACTTCCTTCTCCTGCTCCTCCCCAGTTGTACTACTGGCGTGAGTCCAGTCTGGTTCCAGGTCTGCTGGTCAGTAAAGAGAAGAAGACCAAAGGGTTCTACAGCGTAGTTGCAGAGCCATCGGGAGTCCTCAGCGACCTGGTGCCATTCTCTAAGTACATGATGTTCATGGTGGTGGCCAACAACGGCTTAGAGGGTCCGCCCAGCAACACGGTGGAGATCACCACCAAGGAGGGGGGTGAGGACGCTGCCTCACTACTGAAATATGTCGTACAAGAGAAACCACATCTCATTTCACTAAAGTGTTCAGACAGAGACACTTTTTAATATGCAG